ATTATTTAATAGTAAACCTCTTATCTATTGGAAGTTTTAAGAGAATTAGGTGTAAGTTTTGAATTTAAAGTTGAAAAGTCTGATTTACTTAACAAATCAAAAGTAGTTTGATTATAAAATCAAAATTTGGACTATTTGCAAAGGATAAGTTGTTCCAGTACCCTTTAATTTGAATTCAATAGAAATCTAGAAGTCACAAATAAATTTCTTATTGGTAAAATCCATCTTGGCAGTCATTCAAAGTAGTGTTTTTAAAAAGCAGCAGCAAGGTACCTTGCCATTTTTAGTGCATTTTCAACCAATGTATTTGAACAATTCTAAGGCCACAGCAAACATATCTCAGCCATTCACTGTTCTGCGCATTGATGTTTATCTCATAAACGCATTGAGTAGTGCCTTTCTTAGCTTTTTCACGTTGCTTTGTCACTCTATGTTTTGTGTTCTCTAAATACTTTGCCCGGTTCCGAAAATGTTCTGCATTAAAAAAGGGCTTCAGTATCGACTGAGACTACTTTTGTTCATCTCAGGGAACTTTCAATACTCAAGAATGAATTCAATTAAAGGTATTTAGTGTTCAAAGAAGACAAACTGTACAAGCCCATTTCATTCCCTGTTGTATAGCTGTTGTATACATCTGCCCTCCCCCTTGACTATCTACTGTGGCCTTCTTAGAGGGATAGGGCAAGGAAATCATTGAAGGGTAATAGCAAGAGTAAAAGTAATTGATATTTAACCAATAAAGGGGCATGAGGGATCATAACAAAATCAAATTATAAATACATACTTGAAATATCTGGGTTTTTTTTTTAAATACCATATATTCACAGTTTTTAATTTATTTTTCGTGATTTAACCCTGTACCTGGCAATGCTCAGGCAGCTGATTATGAAATACTCCAGTCCTTTACAGAACATGGTTGTTATGTGCTGTTGACATGAATAGGCCATGGAAACATTTTCATCACTATTACTCAGCCTGTTCTATAATTAATATTAAGTTGCTGAAATAAAAAATGAATCAGTAATAGATTTTCTGGGCAAATCTTATGATTCTGCCCACAGGACTGATGAAACTACTGTGGAAGTTTTTCTATCTGAAAGAAGGTGCTGGTCATTAAAATGTCTTCATGTATTGTATAGCATATGAATTGTATATCAGTGCTAATGGGAATTTCTACATATATGCTTACAGAAGCAATTTATTTAAATAATGCTAGGGGTAGTGTACATACCAACTAGTTATTAAGCTACTACGCAGAAAAAGGATGAATAAAGTAATTTATTTCTAATTGAGCCAGTTAGTCATAATGCACATAATGTGATATTTGGTTCATAAAAGAATTGTTTTCATGTGGTTATTGTAGGGAGTATCCATAATTGTGGAAGGGGTATGGGAAGAGTTCTGTATAGTTAGTTTTCATCTCTACAGGTTTGAAAGTTTTCCCATCAAACATTATCAATATACCAATGTTTTAAAACTTGAGTAAGGATTATTGTTTGTATTTGATGAAAGAAAATCCAAATAAAGCCCACCTAGAAATAGATATTTTATTATATATGTGCTATAGATATATCTATATAGTACAAATAGATGTGTGTGATGCATATATACAATGTTATATATGTGAATCTGTGTGTTTACACACTCAGTCTGTAATATGTACACTCAAGATTTGTGTTATGCTAGCATCTTCAGGGTCTGCACTGTGATCTACCCTGGAGATAAGTAAGACCATGTTACAATAAAGAAGTTCTTTTGAGACTTCAGTTACTATCTTGGTTTAAGAGGGATATACTTTATAACTAAATTCTATGTTGTTCATACCTAGAGTTACAATAAGGGTCTACTATGACCAAATCTTAAAAAATAAATAAATAAAAAG